CTTCACCTAGATAATGAGGGGCCCACAGCTTAGCAATGGGAAGGATTCAGTTCTGGAAAGCGTATAAAGGGTAGAGGCATGGCATGCCCTGTGCATCATTTGGGTTGGTCTAATAAAAGATATCAAATTCACCCAAGGAACCTTGTCTGCCTGTGCATCTGTGGCATTCATATGAGAGCATCAGCGGTCCTTTCTATCCCTGCAGGGCTCGGCTGGTACTTGGACAAATTCTCTCTGGCGGCAAGAGCTGTGTTAGTTAAAACAGTACATCTTTGGGGGGTGAAATCCAGAACACAGTCGTAGATGCTCCACAGTCCCCTGACACTGTCTAGTATAAGCAGTTCACATTACTTCCAGTTCTGGTTAATGTAGCCACCTCAATGCTGTGCTGTGGTGGGGAGGTCTAACTTGCTCTGCTGTCAGCACAGCTAATTAGTGTGGCTGTTCATGCAGTGCTGTGCCCAGGCAAATTAGCTCTCCTGAGGTATCCTGAGCCAGAAGCTGTTCGGGCAGTACCAGGCAATGTTGTCCTTTTTTCCTCATTACATCCGGTAGGACACTGCCTGGTATTGCTCTGAGGCCTGTTTTTCCAAATTCAAGCTGAAGGTCTCATTTAGTAAGTCCTCAGCTGCACTGGAGTATCCCAAAATTCAGGATTGTCCCAGAAATTTTGGGGTGGTTGGTCATTTTTTAGCATTAGTCATTCTGGGAGCCAGAGAGTATGAGGAGGTTCTGCTCATGTCCAACAGCTTCAGGAAAAGAATTGCCTCGTGTTCCAAACCAGATACTATAGGGTAGGGCTGTGTGAAATTTTGCTGGCCGTTTCGACACTGTTTTGACTCATTTGGAGGTCAGAACATCAAAATCGAAATGAAACAAAGGGCGTCAAAACAACTTTGAAACAAAACGAGGCTAGTTAAAATGTTTTGTAAGTCAAAACGTTTCAACTATAGCACTGGGGATGGGAAGTCAGTCCAGCTGGGCTGACTTCCCATTCTTGGTGCTAGATTGGGCCCGGGGGCAGGGAGTCAGCCTAGATCATGCCAGGGGCAGGAAGTTAGCCCAGCTGGGCTGACTTCCCATCCCCCAAGCTAGATCGCACCGGGGCGGGAAGTCAGCCCAGCCGCCTAGATTGCGCCGGGGGCGGGGAGTCAACCGAGCTGGGTTGACTCCCCATTCCCCACGCTAGATTGTGCCGAGTGCGGGAAGTCAACCCACCTGGGCTGACTTCCTGCCCCCGGAGCAATCTAGTACGGGGCATGGGAAGTCAACCCAGCTGGGCTGAGTTCCTTTCCCCAGCCCGATGGTTGGGTGAAACAGTGTCAAAACAGCCCCACTGTTTCGACTCAAAATTAAATTTGATATAAAACACTGTTCCATTCAGACCTCGAAACTGAAGCCAGAACGGAACAGTGCCATTTTGCACAGCCCTATTATAGGGTAGGTTAATTAAAATGTGATTTTCTTTTCTTTCTTTATTTTTTTTAATAGGCATGCTTCTTCTTATGAAACCACTAAACTGTTGGCAAGCTCCTCACACCAATACTAATAAAAGACAGGAAGTGGACTGTAGAGCAGCACTAACCAGTTTTTGCTCTTAACATCAGGCCCTCAAAGTCATCTTTTCCACTGGCCCACTATATTTTCATCTGAGGACAGACTTTCCTAACCCTGCAATTGGACCTAGACAGGTTACAGGGGTGGGCAGATGAGAACAGGATGGGTTTCAGCGCTGACAAGTGCAAGGGGCTTCACCTGGGGAGGAAGAACCAGCAGCATACCTACAGGCTGGGGAACTCCCTTCTTGTCAGTGCAGAGGCAGAAAAGGATCTTGGAATCATTATTGATGCCAAAATGAACATGGGCCGACAGTGTGGGGCCCCGGTCAGGAAGGCCACCCACACCTTGTCATGCATCCACAGATGCATCTCAAGCAGGTCCAAGGAGCTGATCCTCCCCCTCTATGCGGCACTGGTCAGGCCGCAGGTGGAGTACTGCATCCAGGTCTGGGCGCCGCACTTCAGGAGGGATGTGGACAGCATTGAGAGGGTTCAGAGGAAGGCCACCCACATGATCGGGACAGCAGGGCAGGTCCTACGAGCGGAGGCTCTGGGACCTGAACCTGTTCAGCCTCCACAAGAGAAGGCTGAGGGGGGATCTAGTGGCCTGTTACAAACTAGTCAGCGGGGACCAGCAGGCATTTGGGGAGTCCTTGTTCCCCCGAGCACTACCAGGAATGAATAGAAATAATGGTCAGGAGGCGCTACTTCACAGTCAGGGTGGCTAGGACCTGGAACCAACTTCCAAGCGAAGTGGTGCTGGCTCCTACCCTGGGGGTCTTTAAGAGGAGGTTAGATGAACACCTTGCTGGAGTCGTTTGACCCCAGTGCTCTTTCCTGCCATGGCAGGGGGTCGGACTTGATGATCTGCTCAGGTCCCTTCCGACCCTACCAACTATGAAACTATGAAACCCCATCTCTCCCTTTGATAAGAACTTTTTTTCCCCAACTCAGTAGAACAATTCAAAAGAACCTCCCTCCTCTCTCCCTGAGCCTCTTTTTAATCAAATCCTACACCTTTCATTTCTAAAACCTGCTGCTGCTTTTATTTTTCTTCTCAAGAGCTTGAAGTAAAATGATTCCTATGAAAGGGATGAATAGATAACAGGGCTGGCAATTAATAACTGGAAGAGTGGGGGAAGTCTCCCTTTTCTTAAAGTAAAAGATTACATTTTTATTCAGGTTTTATTAGAGGCAAGGATCAAAAGAGTTGGGTGAAGAGAACTGTAATCTAGTCCATCATTTAAGTACTTTTGAAGAGTCATGGCAGACAGGCATTTATGCATAGCTATACCAATTGTCAGTTTCAGTAATTATGTACAGCTTGCTATTTCCCCGCTCCCTCATCAGATTGCAGGGAAGGTTTATCAAGGTGAGAATTGGGCAGGTGGGAAGAGGGAGTGGTGTTGGCTCCTGCCAGACAATTGGAGGTAATAATCTCCTCAGGGCCCAGGTAACTCTTCAGAAAGGTGGAATTCATTTGGCCATGTTCAGAGCTGGGAGCGAACAAAGTGGCAGGGGGAGGAAGGATGGGCTGGGTGTGGGACGAAGCAGAGGAGGAAGAGATGGAGGAGGTGCTAGGCAAGACAGAAGAAAAAAATCTCATCTGCCAAGTATGGCGTAGAAAAAGCAAACGCTTTGCGAGCAAGCAGAAGTGCTGCTATTGTGTGCCTTTGAATGGAGCCATCCCTTCAGTCCTCCCTGCAAATCTCTGCGGCTGTTCTGCTGAGTTTTTTGCTTTCTAAAAAATGATTTATACCTTGAAGGCATTAAGTTTGGACCTAGGAGCTTGGGGCTTGGTTTCTAGTTCTGCTACAGGCTCAGTATTTGACCTTTGGTGAGTTATTTAATCTCTCTCTGCATCTGATCCCCTTTGACAGATGGGGAAAATACGCTCTTTGTTTGGATTGTAAACTCTCTGAGGCAGGGCACTCGGTAGTTGTATGGCACACAGCTGAATGAAGACTACATCCTGGTTGAGGCCTCTAAGTCAATGATTCTCAACCAGTGTGCTCTGGCACCCTGGGCTGCCTTGAGATCCTTTCAAGGGTGCAGTGGGATGCCATGCAGTGTTAGCACTGTTACATGTACAGACATGATTCACAAGATAAACCCAGAAATTTCCAATAGGAATCCATAGTGTTAAAAACATTTTGACCTGTTGTGGTCTTTCTGAGTTCTTTGCAACAGAAAAATGGATCTGTTGTTTTTCCATAGTCAAAAAACAAGTGAAAACGAAGAGCTTGCATTTTCCATGGGGTTTATAGAGTCTAGAAATGTTGAGAACCATCGGTATAAGCATTTCCAAAATGCACATAAAGTGTAAGGAGATTTTATTTGTCCCTTTTCCTGCCTGGAACACCAAGTCATCTTCTTCTGGTGCGAGGCTTGCTCGCACAGGGTATCTGTTTGTGGAAGATGGAGTGTCGACAGATATTTGTCACCTCGGCATCCTGAGCTGTATCTGTGGAAGTGCAATTCCTGTTAAGAGAGATTCATGTTCTTTAAAAGGGGGTTAAATGACATCACTGCTGTTATGGGCTCTCAGTCACTCATCAAGTGCGCATGGCCTCACAGCTTTACAGGTTTTAAAGTGGAAAAACCTTTCTATTTTGCATTGGGGTAATCGAACATTTTCTTTTTCAATTTCAGTGCTAAATTTGTCATATACTATTCCACAAACTGTATTTTGTTGGGATGTAGGGCCTTTGTTTTCCCCTAGACTAGAGTGTCAGTCCACAGTCTCCATCAAAGCACCTGAATTTGGGACAGAAGCAATGGGGAGAGGAGTTCATTCTTTAGGGACATTTAGTCTTAGGCTTCTGGATAAAGTTGGGTCCTCTGTTGTGCTGTTTTAGTTGTTCTAGGCTTCCCAGCCTTGAGTTGGCTGTATTTCAGTGTCAGAGTGTTTCCCGTGTGTATGGTGAGATAGTCTAAGGTCTGTTGAGAAGAAATGTTCTCCCTGAAAAGAAATGTGTTTTCTGAAATTAGAGTAGCAGTAATTCATTCACGTAGCAGTCTGGATATTGGATGCTTCCTACTTGGAACCTGCCTCTACATTTTCACCATTCATAGGTTCTCACCTTGACTCTGAAGGGATACAAGGAAGATTATCCCTCTGGTACATACTTGCACGAAGCCCTTGCACCAAGCCCTGGAAGTGCCAAGACTCAGGCTCAACTAGTTCCCAAAAAGGAGCTTGTTTCCTGGCTCTGTCATTGGCCACTGGGGATTGGCCAATCAAAATGCTTTGGTAGGAAGCAGCTGGGAGTAAGGCAAGTGGCAGGCTGGTGAGTCAGTTGGGACATGGCCCTGTTAGGCTGTTGGAAACAGTGACTAACTCCTACGTGGGACATCCTAAAAACCTGGCCTATAATTAGAAAGGGGGTTTTGTATCAGCTACATTTCACTTAATTATGACATGTTTGCTTGTTATCACAGGAGGCAGCCTTTCCAAGCAAGACTGGACCATCCAGTGGCCAACGACAGAAACAGGGAAGGAAAACAACCCTGTGTGCCAACCAGAATCCATGCAGTGGATTAGAACGCACCTTTCCCAGAGCCCCAAAGTGCAGTCCAAATGCATCCAACACTACTGTCACCCGGGTTCAGCCCATGGACCGATGTACACCCACGTGGACAGGCTGACTGTGGAGGGCCACCCAGGGCTTTGCCCCCCGGTAGAATCTGGACATCGCTCTTTGCCGCCATCCCCCCGGCAGCGGCATGCTGTTCACACACCTCCGCGGACCCCTAACATAGTCACCATGATGACTCCTCCAGGCACGCCGCCAGTGAGGCGAAGAAACAAGCTGAAACCGCCAGGGACTCCTCCCCCATCATCCCGGAAACTGATTCATCTCATCCCCGGATTCACTGCCCTGCACCGGAGCAAATCTCATGAGTTCCAGCTGGGTCACCGAGTGGATGAGGCACACACCCCCAAGTAAGTGAGCTCAGGATGGGGGAAGGGGGGGATGCCAGGCAAGCAATGCAGGATGGAGTGATGGGCTGTGATCAGGTAGTTAGGTAAGAAAACATGCTGGTAATGTACATCTCCAATCAGTGCTGCCTGTCTAGTGGCTAGAATACCACTGTCCTGAAGTTCTGGTTTCTAATCCTGGTCTGGCTCTGGCTGATCCCATTTTCCTAAGGGGACCATGCCAGCCCCACAGTGTTCTTGAGTGAATGACCACTTGTGGAGCTCTGTGAAATCCTTGGCTGGGGGGTGTTAGAGAAACGCTGAGTATTGCTAAAAGCCTGACGCCATGTGCCAGATATCATTTGTTAAATGCTACATGCTCCAGTCTGTTAAACCTAACCTGGTGCTTAGCCTCCGAGATTAAAGCCCTGTGCTGTGTTGGCTACTGCGGATGTGGGGGTGATGTGTTAATATGGAGGCTCTGGTTGAAATGCTGCTAGAGAGCCTGGTTTGGGTTTCAAGCCAGAAAGGTCTGCTGTACAGCCCGTATGCCTAGTACCTTGGGGATGGTACAGGAGGCATGAGGCATTACTACAGGTGACTTGTCCTCACATCAGTAAGAAATAATTTATGGGCTCTGTAGAGAGCTTCATTTAAGCTTTCTCCCTTGGTGATATTTGGCCACCCTTTTGGGGGCAGGGAGAGCTGAGTATATTGGTTAGAAGAGTTGCTGTTCTGGGTGCTGACTTAGTTTCCCAGTCAACTCCAGGATCTCGGGATTGCAAAGTTGTCAACAAATCACTTTGGCTCTGCCCCTTAACCCAGACCAGGGCTTGGTGTCAATTTGTTGTAAAGCTCTGTGGACCCCTGTGGGATGCACCTCTGCCTCTCAGAGCTAGTTACCCAGGAGGCCCTCAACTCTATTTTCCTACCTGTGAAATGGAACTTAGGATACGTGTCCTGTTTCTCCTGCTAGATCTTAGATCTTAAGGGTGCCACTTATTATTAGTAGTGTTAGGTGTGCCAACACTTACTCATGATTCATAAATAGAGACCTACGTAAATCAATGAGACAAAGGGTTTTTTGCAGCCTGCTCTTGTGCCCAGAGCTGATTTTATGGGCGTTTCATGGTGGCCCCACCCCTTGGTGGTGATTGGTGGAAAGGCCCCACCCCTTGGTGCTGATTGGCAGAGAGGCCCTAGCAGAGGGAGGTGACATGAGGGGGCAGCTGCCATATTGATTGCTGGCTGCCCTTTGACGCTGATTGGCAGAGAGGCCTGGGGGATGGGGGGAGGAAAGACCATGGGGCAGCCACCATCTTAGCTGCTGCCCTTTGTGCCACTCCACCAGCAGGTGCCTTCCCCTTTCACCAGTGAGGACCACTGGCTCCTACTGGGGAGCAAGCATTTTATTTTTATAATTTTTTTTATTGATTTTTTGCAGATTTTGTGGACAATCTCAGATTTCATGGTTTCCATGAAACCACTAATTAAGCAGGTCCCTATTCATAAGATGAACCCAGAGATTTCAAATAGGAATTTGTTCAAGTGGGAAAACACTCTGACCCGCTGTGTCTTTCTGAGTTCTGTGCAACAGAAGAATTGTTCTATCATTTTTCTGTAGTCAAAAAGTGAGCAACAACTAAGAGCTGGCATTTTCTGAAGAGATGCTCTGAGTCTAACAGGGCATACCTTGAGTCTAACAAAGGGTGCCTTAAGTCTAAAAATGTTGAGAACTCCTGCCTGAGAGAGGGAAAACATTTTATACGAGATCAAAATTTGGATAAAGTTTTTTTTTGTTTTGTTTTTTAAACTATTCCCATTTTATCTTCCGTTGATCATATGACCTGTAGGTCACCTCTTTTCGCCCCATGCCCTGATCATTTCTGATGCTTGGAAGAACTTCAGAATCAGAAAAAAATTAAGTCAAAATGACAATAGGGCAGAGAAACTGAAAAGTAGCCTCTTAGTACTGCAGAACTATGCAATTTTTTGGTTTCTCACCATCCCAATAATTATAAGCAGTGTTAGAACAACATTGCTGTGGCCTATTCCCTGGGGCTGGCGACAGCAGCTTTCGCTGTCTGCTCTATGTGCTTAGCTAGTGATTATCCATGGTGTTTTTCTTACTGAGAGGATCCCAGGAGTTCAAAGGATCCTGGCTTCTCTTAGCTGTCAAGGCATTCTGAAAGGTGTATGCTATGAGTTTCAAAGGTGAAGCCATGGCAAGAGTGTGGAAAGATGTAGGCTGTGGTGTGGAAATGAGGTCCATTTTTAGCTCATTATTTTACAACTAGCAGTAGAGTTTGCACCCAGAGTAACCTGGCACTCTCAATCCTTTGCCAGTGGCATCTCCTGGCTCTTTTGGAACAGGCAGCCAGCTCTCCTTATGTCCTTCTCTCTTCCCTGGCGAGACTGATGCTGGCCTTTTGCTAAGAAAGTCACTGTTGACTTTCAGATATAACACCGTGGTTCCCCATCATAGCCCTCCAATTATTTGTGCATCTAAGCTAGGGGAATTATATCCTTTCCCCCACTCCCTTTTTTAACTTTTGGGTTCACCTAATTTTTTTGGCCTCCTTCATCCTGTGGATCCTCAGCCAGCAGGGGGTGCTGTCATGCTGGAAAATGCCATTGTTTTATCCTTGTGACGATCAATTCCTCAGCTCCAGCTTCTGCAACTGGATAAAGTCTGTTTATAAACAGAGTGGCTTTAAGGGGAATGCAATCTGTATCTTGGCCAGGCTCCTGGGCTGGTCTGGGGTCCTACTATATTAGCAGCTGTGAACCTGACTGCTCGTGTATTAAGGCAGGGCTGTCCAAATGGCAGCCTATTTGCCTCATTCAAGGGGTAGATTTGTGATCCCCAGGCTCCTACGTGGCCACTGCTCCCCTCATTGCTTCTTCCATTGCTCTTTAGGCTTTCCCTCCATTCTCTGGCTTCTGCTTCCTGCCCCTGCTCCAGGCTACATGTCACAACCTGCTGTACCTGGGGGACCATGGTCCAGAATGCCTCCGTGGTATGGTATTGGGGCACCCACTCTGGGGAACTGCAGGTGGGGCCAGTTGTCTGCACAATGCAGTGCAGTGGGGGAAGACTGTGTGGCATGTGGCTGGCGTGGCCCATGGCTTCCACTACTGTGGTTTGTGTGACTTGGAGCCCCTGGCCACTTAGAAACTGGACAGCCCGGTATTAATGCATAAGGGCCTGATACGGAACCGCTGAATAAAGATACCCTGCTTATAAATGGGGAGTTTTGCAGGCTTATCAGCCTAGCTGAGCTCTGCCCTGGTGTTGTGGGGCAGGCCTGTACAATGTTTGGGCAGCCATATCCTGAATTGTGCTTGAAACAGGTCATTCCTATAAAGGCAGAAACCTGATGATGAAAGCTCCAGAAAGGAGGAAAGTGCTACAAACTGCTAAAAGGCTTTGCTCTTCTAGATGTGGGAGGCACCTGTATAGTACGACAGGGGCTGGCAGGATGAAACCTGAGGATAAGTATCTCCCTGTATGTACAAACAAGGTTCCTTGGGTGAATCTGATATCTTTTATTAGACCAACCCAAATAGTTGGAAAATAATTATTAAGCAAGCTTTCAGGTTCAGAAACCCTTCATCAGGCTAAGGAAGTTTCAGCAGTTGGTGTGTGCTCTTCCTGGTGCAGTTGGTGTGTGCTCTTACCCGAAAGCTTGCTTAATAATTATTTTCCAACTATTTGGGTTGGTCTAATAAACGATATCAGATTCACCCAAGGAACCTTGTCTGCCTATGTCTTTAGACCAACATGGCTACAACCTACATCCCTGTATGTACTGTACCCTAATAGCCTATGGGGGGAAGTAACATCTCACAGATGGGCACCTTGTTTTCTGTGTGATTAGAGCAGCCTTGATACGGGCTGGCTGGTTGTGATTAGAGCAGCCTTGATACGGGCTGGCTATGTCTGTTCTGGTATAGGGAAGCAGAGAGCTTTTGGCTCTTTTCTATTGTTTCTCCCTCCCTTCGTCTGCTTGGCCCTGTTCTCAGACTCAGTGCATCCAATTAGCTCCAGTTGAGGAATACAAAGGGTTAAAGCTTTTCTCTGAAGGAAAGGGAACAATGAGCAAGGACAGAGGGAGCCTGCAGGGAAAATTTAGGAGCAGCCAAACTCAGGAGCAAGCCTTGGCTGAGGTTCAGGCTTTATTGTGGGGCATTTGTTCAAAATAAAGGTGAGTTGACTGCATCCAGTGTTCAGGCACTCCACTGCATGGTGGAAATGCCATCTGCTAGCAGGGATGGACCAGGGCTCCCAGTCAAAACGCCCCTTAACTTTGCTGCCCTTTGTATCTGAATGCAAAACGTGTCAGTCTTATCCCCCCCGCCTCCTTGAGGTCCCAACTTGAGACCTATAATTGCAGTGCTGGAGCTCAGCACTATGACATAAATATCTAATCCAGGGCAATGCAGTAGTCTTTCTTTTCTTGAACAAGAGCTTATTTATTCCTAATGAATAGAAACAGAGTGCATTACCCAATCTTCATCGTTCTTTGTATATACTGAATTCAGGCGTGCACACTTCAATAAATGAATAGGATTGCCAGTTCATTAAGTCCAAATGTGGCACCTTCTCTCATCAGTCAGTGCCAAAGAGAAGTGTTTCATATCCCGCTTTTACAGTATTCTGTCTCTAATGAAGTATTGCGGTGTGCAGTGCATTCCAGGGCATTCTTGCTGATTATGCCCTTCTGCTGATGCTCTGCTCCTTTTCTTTTTCTTCTAAGGAGGTGGTTTGTTGTTTGATCTCAGCTTCTCTGTTTCGTGCTTCTTCACATTAAAGGGATGTGGTAAAAAAACCCCCAAAAAACAACACTTCTCTCTGAAAATTTCTGATTTACTCTTGTTGCTAGTAGCACCTAATGTCAATGGAGCTGAAAGACGAGAGGGTTCCCCCCCCTTGCTCAACATATGTATTTTGTATATCAGTTTCATTTATTTCTCCAGGGGACTCACTTTTCTTCATTTGCCTGGATTTTTCACTTTGGTGA